TTGTAACACTCCAAAGAGAAAGGACAAATTGAAATCGCATCATATGACCCCTTTAAGGTTGATGCCGACTATTTCAAACTGTCATAATTGATTCTTCTTCTGCTTTCCAGGATGAAAACATCATGAACTCCATGCAGCTCTTTGAAAATGTGATATAGGACGGGAGTGGAGCGATCCAAAGCTAAAACAGCCCTCAAAGCCCCAATCCAGTTCTCTCTACGTCTATATACCAAACTAGCACAGCAATCACTCTCTGTCTTGTCCTGTAGCACTACTCCCATGCCTGCTGCACTCCGTAGAATCGTATAGACCAACACATAGCCGATAGTATGGCGTCACAGTTTGTACTTCACAGCAGGACTACTTTTAAAAAGAAAAGCCTGGACGGCTGGGATCCTTCCAGTTGCTAAATACCGGTAACCGTGTGGTGGAACTTTCTGATCAGAATGAGCAAATGAAGTAGCAAAGCCACGTTTTGTATCACTGGTTGATGGATTCCAATGGGCTCTCTAACATCCAGATAAAAACCATCACCACTCTGGACTGCTATCTTCTGCCTTCTGATTATGAATGAGGGAGATTACAAGACTCAATCTCAACCTTCCAGATACCATAGTTTGAACGAGAGTACAGTAACTATGGATTTCAAGGGATCCAAAGGAAGGTCCAGCACCAATTCCGATTGAAGCACACCAGAGACTACACGTAAAAGTCACCAAAAGAACAAAATAAATGTGATGAAAACCGACCTGAAGCATGCCTGTCCAAATATGTGAGATATTTGTGATTTTCTTGCATGGAGACTGACAAAGTTGTACATTTTCTTCCTTGTAAGCCAGTAGGTCCCACAGAAGACCATAAGCAAACTAAAGCAACTGTATGCATGAAGTTACGTAGTGTACCAGTGTTTATAAGTTCTGCTCAAACCTGTATTGCACATATCAGTGGGGCCAGGGTGATTTGTTTGGTCACATTTGATTCTTGCACAGCAATGAGGTATATTAAAAGTTATATTTACACTATAGGCATTTTAGAAGTATAGAAGTATGTGTTTTATTTTCAGAAATGTATTTATTTGTCAGGCGGCATCTAATGGAATGCAGGGTTTGGCCATGAACGGACATGTCCAGATTATTAAAAATGTGGTTTACAAGTTTTATTATGCTCATTAAAACATTTTTTGGATTTATATATATGTATATATATATATATATATATATATATATAAAACAGACTGAGATATATACTGTACGAGAGGCTCATTTATCCCTTTTTTACTTTTGCCCACATATTGCTTTGTAAATGTTACGTTATTTCATCAAGTACAGTATACAATGGGCAACCATGGGAATCTCCTTCTTATATGACAGTTGTACCATCAGGAATATGGATAGCTTTTACTCTTACGCAACAATCCCCTTCTATTTGGGGATGGTGAGAAATTATTGCTCACCTATATAAAGGAACAAATACTATGATGAAGGTGAAGTTATAGTAAAGGTTCAAAGTTAAAAGTCTGATTTCAGTTCACTTTCAGTAGCAACACCTGAATTACTTAAAAGCTCTTATTTATTTATGCTTTGTTTGTTTGGTTGGAGCAGATAGCTTAATGTCCAATGAATAAAAGACGCAATACTCTTGATCAAAAGCAGTGTTTCTGTTAATGTTACTGATGCTTTTAATGACAGTCTCACTTCAAAAGAAAGAAAGGGAACGTGTGTGTTGTGTAGCCAATTACAGTGAGTTATTTTATTGTAAAACAGTGGTTCGCAACCAGCGTGGCGGGGCCCACTATTAATTTTACATTTAAATTTAGACTTTAAATTTTAAATGTAAACTTTAAAATGAAAATGAAAACAGAAAATACTATCATATAAAAAATAAAACAATCTAGTTCAAAATATTAACAAAAACTACAATTGTATATCAGTAATATTAAAATAACACTGCTTAAAAGTATTTTAAATTGTTAATATTACTGATATATCACTAATATTGTAATATTAAGATCTTCGAATATGCTGTAAGTTTGAGAGTCACTGATCTTCAGTAAGTGCTCTTATCGGACCTTCAGTCTGTGTGTGTGTGTGTGTGTGTGTGTGTGTGTGTGTGCGTGTTTGCACATGTAAATAGAGATCAAGAAGGTGCCAGTTATTAAATCCCATGCATGACAATGATACAAACTGAACGCAAGCAGGAAAAGGGAGAAAGATTTGCACCTTAACACAGTGATCTGAAACTAAATATCTGTGGGTAAGACTGTGAATGTGTTTACACAGAATAGAATTTCCTTACAGAAATGCTTATCCCCATCTGCTATGCTTATGGAAATCTGTGTCTGATCCGGTTCATGGTGGAGACACGTCTACATTTTGTCTGCTTTGGGTGTCTGACTGTGGAATATAATATTTTTCTATACTTTTCACCCTCCTTTCATATATCATTTCTATTGGTTGCTCGTCTTCACGTTTCCCATAATATCTTTAATCTCTCATTTCTATTTTATCATAGCTTCTATGTGATTCCTTGAAATGTCAACAAAAAGAAGAAAATATTACATGTCAAATCTGAGTGAGGCCCATAGCCCCACTAACCTACATCCATCAATTAGCACAATAGATTAGCCACTGATTCAGGCCATGAGCAGGAAGAAGAGAAGTCAACACTGTCTAGTTCTTGTTCATGCATTATGAAAGTACTATAGCTAACTGGGATTATTTCCCCCATCTGTTCAGGTCTTCCTTCTCCTGCTGCTCTTTGCAGGAGTGACATCACTTCCTGTGTGTGCATTTCTGACCAAAAATACATTTATTGATTCATGCCATTTATAGCTTAAGTGCAAATATTAAATTACGGAAGACACAATCGACATATAATAATTCGAGAAAATCATTTGAATTTTAAGGTAGAAGTTTAGACAATGTAGAAATACTGCATATTTCTTATAAAATGAACAGTAAATACACATAAAATAATGTTTAAACTGAAATAACTCAATTAAATATAATTTTAACAAATAACTTATTGACTATAAATGTATTTACACTATATGTATAGGCCCAGGAGTTATTAGGATAAGCCATCAAACATGATCACACAGCTTGGATTATACATTGTGTACTAAACATGGGTAAACACTTGCTTCTTTTTTCCATAAAGCACTCATTTTTAGGCTTAGCAGTCAACACAAGTCAAGCATTACCTACCACTCCAGTCATTAAAACTGAGAAAAGTTCATTCAAGTAAAGTGGCGATGCTTCAGACACTTTTCCTCATTCCTTGTTCTTCTTCCCTGCTGCTTAAAACAAATAATAAAATAAACAATCAAAACTTTTGTTGTCTGTGGTAATTAACTGTTTAGCTGTCCTGAAAAAAAAATAACACTCTTTTGACTCTTTGCAAACCAAATTTCATACGTTTATAACCTATTAACACCACTAGGGGGAGTACAGTCATATTGAAGGTACAGTAAACATTTTTAGCCTACTCCCTTTGTGTGCATATTTCGAGAACGTCCATGTTTAAGAAGTAGAAGTAGTTTCTAAATAGTAGAAATTGCATGTAGACAGTTCCTTGAATATTTTCATTTCTAGTGTAAATCTGCTCTGTTCCCACCAATAATAAATTTAACCAATAGGCTATAGCAATAAAAGTGGCTACAAGTTTCTTTATTCCGTGCTGTTATTCACATGTTCAGTCATCTGTCCAATCACTGGTGTTCTGCTCTCTCTTAAAACCTTCGTTGAAAGCTTAGCAAAAACCCTAAATGTAACATATAATGAAATACACAACAAACTCTTCTTGAGTGGCCCTCTTTTATAATCACTCCAGCGACCTCCCTGTATATATAATTTGCTTTGTTATGATGATGTTTGGTAATGATGATGTTGTTATTTTTATTCGATCCTGTTGGAAATGTACCGGTACTTGTATTTCCCTGAATGGCCTGTGTTCTTTAAAAGTTTAACCCAGTTTGGAATGCACTGGTCAAAAAAATAGCACATGCTTCAATTAAAACCTGCTTTTCCAAGCTTACAGTTAGTTCTCACTGTTTTGTCATCGGATCATTGGTGTCACGTCATCATGTAATGGTTACCGAATAGTGATGCGCGGTTGAGCTAAAACGTCACCCGAATCCGCAGCTTCAACTAAATTATCCACCCGCCAACCGCCCGCACCTGTATTTTTGTCTGATTTAGATAACCGCACCCGACCCGCACCCGATCATCACATTAGGGTTCGTACGGTCATAAAAAACCTGGAAAAGTCATTGAACAGCAATTTCCAGGCCTAGAAAGTTTTGTAAAAATAAATAAACTCAAAAAGTTTTTGAAAAGTCATGAAAATCTATTTCACAATTCTCTGTATAATAGAATTATGTTTAATCAGATCCTGAATTTCGTTGCGGGATTGCGTATACATCGATCCGCGGATTATCCGCAGCGCCCGCGGATATAACCGCCATCCGCGCATCACTATTACCGAATGTAGGTCAATTAAGTAATGACGCAGTTCCGCCTGAAGACCGGAAGGGGGCGCCGAGAAACGCAACGAATGGCCCCTTTCGTGAGACTGAGGGCGCCTAAAAAGCTTTTTATTTAAATATTATTATTTTAAAATTATTTTAGAGGTGAGCTTATTTAATTTAGATATATTTTCATGTGTTTTCCGTCTCTTTCCTCAACCTCTAACTTTGTTGGTTGTTATTTGTATAATTGTATATTGTTTGTTGTAAATATGATGTTCAATGCTTTCAAACAAAATTTTAAAAAGGGACTGGCGGCGCCATTTTTACTGTTAAAAGCAAGTCGGAGGAAATGGGAGTCCTGTGAGGCAGACAGGGGCCGTGTAAAGGAGGTAGCATTGAGCAGGCTTATGGAATCACAGGGCCAGGCACGACACCGGCAACAGAGATGACTGGGTGCTGCGTCTTCGCCTGTGAACAATTCTATTGGCCGAGAGTCATCAGAAGGCGGGGCTTATAAGCGTTTCGACCTCAGGGTTTGTTTTGAGCATGCGTTGAAATGCCACAGTGCCCCGTGTGCCGTCTGTATATCCGTGTGTCGCTATATAATAGGGAAGAATCGTTCCACTTGTCTCCTGCTCATCATATAAGCCAGTCTAGTCAGAAGACTCTGTCTGGCCGAAGGTGTTTGGTCAGAGAAAGTCGCTGTTTCCTTATTTACCCTCAGCAGTGCTGAAGTAGGACACTCCAGGTACCGCGAAAGAACACAAGGGGAAATTACAGAAGAGGACAACGATTTTGTTCTTCCCGGAAAGGTGAGAAATAACGACTCAGTGTGTTTTATGACACAAGTGGTCTATTGTAATTGTAAATAGGATTGTTCTTAATATCAAATAAGCGTAATAATAATAATGATAACAAAAATGTCCTAGTCGCATCCCATCAACACCTCAGGATTCCAGTCCCTGAGATGCGATGCAACTGCGTAGAAATCTGGCTGATTATAACCGAGTCGCTCATATCTACAATAAAGACGATGCTGTCATATGATCATTTACAGTTTTAGTGTTTGGTTTATAAGTTTATATGACACATGATTTTGAAATATGGATGGCGTTCAGCGCTATTGATCTGTCTGTTGGGCCATAGCCATATAGATGTTGAATTACAGGCTCTTTTAAAAAGACCACGTGCTTTCAGCCTGTGGTTTGAAATTTTGAGATTTTCCTCGTCTTATAATGAAGGTGTAATAAAACAAGACCACGTTCAATTGTCACGTTTAATTAAACTAAACGCAACACAATATCAAGTATATGGAATGTCCATCAAAAGCAGTGACAATTATTTTTTCTTTATGTATCCAGTATGATGTTATGATAGATTAAATATTAAACTTTCTTATCTTGGTTGATTAAATAAAGGGATAGGCTACTTGTTTTGATTATCTTTGAGAGGTATGTCAAGGTTTGTAATAATGTGATAGAAGAGTTTCACATGTAAGGAAGTTATGAGCAGGTTCATGCTGGTGTTGTGCCGAATTCTGCACCACACCTGTTCATGCCTGATGTTATCATCTGTGACTCATGTGATGCAACCTGGACACTTATGGTTTGTGCTACATTAAATATCATGAATGGTTTTGGTAATTGGTGCATGTTTTCCATTAGTGATTGCACAACTGTAAATGGTGTCTAAAGAAATGAGTAGTAAGTGATGTGGGCTAGTAAATGTTTCTTGGTTAACTGTAAATTGCTTTGGATAAAAGTGACAGCTAAACAACCAATAAGTCATTTTTAAACAGTCAGATTTTCACGGCTGTGGAAAATCTGAAATATTATGAAATGATGATGTCTGAGTCCTGGAAATATTATGTAAATTTGTTAAATCTCAAAAGGTCTTGTGTAGTTAATATGAACTATGAACATGAAATATTTTTGAAAGAAGTCTCTTATGCTCACCAAGGCTGCATTTATGCGATCATGAATATAGTAAAAACAGTAATACTGTGAAATATTATTACAATTTGGAATGTAATTTATTCCTGTGATGCAAAGCTGAATTTTCGCCATCATTACTCCAGTCTTCAGAGTTACGTGATCCTTCAGAAATCGTTTTAATAAGCTGATTTGCTGCTCAGGAAAGATTTTTTATTATCAATGTTGTGCTACTTAATATTTTTATGGAATGAATAGGACAAAAAAAAAACTTCAAAAGAAAAGCATTTATTTGAAATATAAGTCTTTTGTATCATTATAAATGTCTTCACTATCACTTTTTTGATCAATTTAGTGTGTCCTTGCAAATAAAAGTATTAATCCTACTGATCCCAGACTTTTGAGCAGTAGATATGTTTATAATATTTCTCAGCTCTGAAAAATGTTATCAACAAGATGTTGATCCTTGTAGAGTGAAACTTTCCACAAGCCATCCTGATAACATGGGCCTGTCTGTTGAGGGTCTCATTGGAAAAATGTGTACATTAAAATGCAAAACTGTTCAATAGTTAATATAAAAACTTGCTTCCTGACATACAAATTCAAATTTTCCTCAGCAGTCTCTATGAAATGATTTTTTACCAAGCAATAATGAATGACTGGAAATGTCATGGAAATCATTTGATCAAACATTGTGAGAATGCTGTTATGCATTGGAGGATGAAGGGCATCTGTTGTTCTCCATCTTTCTGTGATTCATTCATTTTTTTCTGTTCTTTGATATTTCCTTTGAGTCATTCACAGTGTAAGTGCCGCTTTGGCTATTTGTGTAAATGATGCCTGAAATATCCATTCATGTGGTATAGTATGAAGTCTGACCATGGATTTGTCTGGTCAGTGACATCTCCTCCTAGATGCCAATGACAATATTAGTGACAATGACAGTGTATTTGATCAGTTTGATCCCATTTGCTTAAGATAATGAATGTTTCTGAGAAGAGAATTGATTCTTCTTTTTTGAGCCATTCCTTTAATATTATATAAACTGAAAGACATCCAGGATTGCATAAAGAGTTTAGATAAACAGATGTAGCTCAGAGGAACGCAGACTGGGTTGTGGCAGCTGTATTTTATAGCACAGGCTGTCAAGCACCAGAAGACTCTTTTGAGTGGAATGCTTTGTTTAAACAAATCTGTTGTGCTTGGTTTAGACGTGCCTAAATATTGTACAGAGAAGTTAAAGGCAATGGATCCTTATAGTTGTATTTTTCATCTGATACATTAATAAATGTGTTTTAATTAGCTTTTGTGCTTAGAGATTCAAGATTCAAGATTCAAGATTTTTTATTTGTCACATACATGGTTATATAGGGAATATATGACCAGCAGTGAAATGTAAGTCAGGTCCGCTCCATGGACAGTGCAATTATTAAAGAATACAAACACAAGAAAATTATATATAAATATAGGTATGGAAAAAGTAAGATAAAAAATAAGAATAAAATAAAATGCACAGGACCGTATACTGTAGGCTTAATAAATATGTATTTGTATAGATAAATATGTATAGAGGGTTGAATTAAAGCTTGTTTTGTTTTCTTCTTGCTTTTATGTTAGTTTGAATTAGCATTTGTCAGCACAAGTCGCTCTTCACAATCCAATCATGCCGAGAAATGGATTGTTTAAGAAATTGCCAATTAACTGTATTGATTTCTCAGAGCTTTACTAAGTAAAGTGAGAACCATGTAATTAAATGGTGAAGCTGAGAGAGCATGTTCACAAACCAGCAGGCTGACGGTCACAAAACATTATCTAACACACCACTGAAAAAACAAGAGGGTTTTAAAGTCTTCCTTCCTCTTTTTTTTTTTTTCTCAGTCATCTGATCACTCACAAAGTGGGATTTAGTCCCTTGAAGCTAAAATAAAATATCATCACTTTCACTCATGCTGTTTCAGTCTTTTTCAAACCATTTCTGATTCTCTGTTCTCTTTTTCTGTCTCTTTCCATTTTTCTTTCAGTTTCTTTCCAGTATTTTCTTATCATTTACAGAATGAGCATGTAGGCTGTTGTTTTAAATAAGAGTCTTAGTAGTTGGGGGTTTGGTAGTTGGTGGATGCAAGCAAACCAAAAACGTATTCATATCAAATGAGTGCATAAACTTAGTTTGGTAGCAGTGCAACAGTTTCGCAGAGCAGTTACGGTGAAAAAAAATATTATTGTGCTTATTGTTCAAACTTTAAATTCTGATTGAATGAGCCCAGCCCTGAGGCTTAAACTTGGATTCAAAACACCACTTCTGTATCTAATGATTCAATACAGTAAAGTGTAATACTTTTTTTTTTGTCATCATGTGTTGTAGTTAATTCACCCCAAAAAAAAAAATAAAAATCTCCCATCATTTTATTTACCCTCATGTTATTCCAAACCTGTATGACTTACATTTTTTCTGTGGAATATAAAAGAAGATATTTTGAAGAATGTTGGTAACCAGACAGTAACTTGTATGGACAAACACTGAGACATTTCTCAAAATATCTTTTGTGTTCCACAGAAGAAAAAGTTCTGCTAGGTTGGAATGTTGTGAAGGTGAGTAAATCATGACAGATTTTTCATATTTTGTTAACTATTCCTTTTAAGATGTTAGTTTCTGTAGTTCTATTTAATAACAACCTATGAATTGCACATATTGGCGTCTGATTGAGGTTGATCCCTTCAATAAATCATCCCTATAGTATAGTACTTGCATAATTCAGATCCTATTGGTTTGCTGTAATGCAAATTGTGAGGACATCCCACCTTGCTGGAACTTCTCTCTTATGTCACTGGTTTCTCATCACAGAAAGCTCATTTCATTCATTTGCCTCACTCTTTCAGTTTTTTTCATGTCCCATAAGGCAATTTGTCAGATTTAACTCCATCATTTAACAGGGGATTTTGTGTAATTTTCTTTTTCTTTTTTAAGTTTGCATAATTAGATGAGTCAGGGCTCTAGAAGAATGTTGGTAACCAGACAGTAACTTGTATGGACAAACACTGAGACATTTCTCAAAATATCTTTTGTGTTCCACAGAAGAAAAAGTTCTGCTAGGTTGGAATGTTGTGAAGGTGAGTAAATCATGACAGATTTTTCATATTTTGTTAACTATTCCTTTTAAGATTTTAGTTTCTGTAGTTCTATTTAATAACAACCTATGAATTGCACATATTGGCGTCTGATTGAGATTGATTGATTTTCTTTTTTAAGTTTGCATAATTAGATGAGTCAGGGCTCTTGATAACTGCCAAATCAAAGGAGAGACAAAGGTTGCTTAAACAATATATTCTTTAGCAAAGGGCAGAAACGTTAGACCATTAATGGCATTTGAAGAAAAACATGTTTGAGCTTTCAGCTAACACTGTGTTGATGCTAGACTCGAACGGCGCGATGTGACGCAACAAAAGATAATAGAATCCGTTATAATCAGTGATTCTGTCAACACTGGATGCGGCGTGTCAAATCCCTGGCAGTAAACTGATGGCCTTTTCTATTTCTGACATACTCCTAATTGCTCATGCTACTTCTGACACAAAGGACAAGTAAATTTGCAATGGTCGCTTTGTTGCATCCAGTATAGACAGTCTATAGCTGTTGCGGTGTGGTTGCATGGTAAGCTGCTGATGGTGAATTCTCTATTGAGGTAAATGTTCTTATAAAAGAGGAGTCACAGAGATTTTCTTTATTAAAGTCTTTGAGTCTCTTTAATTTGATTCAGTAACTTAAAAAAAAAACAGTGACCATAAGGCTGTTGTACTTATTGCAGTTTTATACTTTATGTGCATACATGACATATGTACTATAGCACCTCACAAACATGCTGAGCACACATATCATTTGTGAC